AAAAAATTATAAATGATTCAAGAGATTCTTCAAATTAACGGGGAGAAAATATATATAATGAAAGCATTTACCATTTTCATTGCGTTTTTCACTAGCTTAACATCGTCGAAGCTGATAATACGGTGGACGAACCTCTTAGGTATAAGCTCACTACCAGGTTTTGCCAAGAGAGGAGTCTCGGTATCCCTCAAGAAACATATCGTTAGAGCAAACATTAAGACATCAACAAAGGTGTTGAAGAACAGCCTCAGGATGCACCAAAGACCTAGAAAGAACCACCAAATCTTGTTGAAAAAACCGCTGTAGCATCTCGGTCCAAACCGTTTCTTCTGAACCGCGACAGTAGGCAAAGCCTCGGGATCTGATGATTTGCGGGTGCAAGCGAGAAAAAGAGACATGAGAGACATTCCATCACCCAAGGAATGATGGATCTTGAGAAGGCCAATGGATTCAGCGTTTGATGTTTTGAGGCAGAGTAAGTGAATTTCCCACAATGGTTTAGACAAATCCATAGGAATGGTCGTTAACTTAGAGATATAGTCTTCAAGATACTGATCATGATTTTCAATGTTGTCGGGATCTATATCAGGAACAATCACATGCTCTTCCACATTAACTTTTGTTCGAACCCAACTCGGTTTCCCTTTCTTTCCCTTGTCCATTTCCTAGATTTATCATGACCCAAAAAAAAAAAAATCATACATAAATATCCAATTTTATTTCATTTTCCTTTATTTGGTTAATGATTAATATATTGCAAAAAAAAATTAAAATAATAGTGCTTGTTGGACTATTCTCGGTCTGATTACAATAACTAATGACTCATAATTAAGAGCATGTTTTAACTAAAAACTAAGTTAAGAGCATGTTATACCTGATTACCTTCCATGATACAAAATATAGTAAAGAGGAAATCTGTTATGGCAATATATGAATCTCGAATAGAATAAAGAATGGTCTTATTATCACTTTACTCTATAACTCCGTTCATTTTTACTGTGTTGTGTACATACACAACTGTAAAATTTTTTTATGTTTTACGAATAATAAAATATTTTGGAGTTTATACAAATATTATTCATGTGTGTTTGGACTTACTAAAATGCTGGAGAAACGAGGGTGATTAACGAGGGTGTGTTTAAGGCCGTCGATAATGGCTGCTGGATTTCCTTTGACTTTGCATCCCATTGTGACGATTATGGCACAGTTAAACTCCGGCGAATTGAACAGCCGTGAGCATGGGCTGAGCGGCTCCTCCTCCACCGTATCTCTCGCCGTCTTCTTCTCTCCTCCCATTCTTTGACCTATTTGTGGCTCTTTCCTAGTTTTGTGCTTTTTTTGTTTTTTTTTTTCACTCACAGTCACTTTATACTCTATACTCCTATATATAAACGAATTACACGATACTTAGCTGTGGACTCATGGACATGGTCCCTTTTGTTTACCGTAGCTACTACATCATGTGGATGTTATTTATATCCGTATATTTTATGGGGTTTTTATTTGACATTATCAGGTGTAAATAATATTTTATACATTATATTATTATGTTCCATTTTTATTACTAAACCTTGATTTTTACTTGAACATAATTTTTTTTTCAGACAGCAAAAAATGAAAAGTAATCTCAAAACTTCTTGTTATTGTTATGCAAATGCTGTCAAATCCACATATTTAATAAATTCCTAGGAATACGAGAATTTTAAATGAATTACCTACGTCTCTACTCACTATATTAACGTCCTTCACCATCAGAATTTAATTATGCTACACTTCTCTCTGACATTCTGTATTTATATTAGAGAGTTAGTCTTCAATTTCTGCTTAATCAAAAAGGTTCTCAGAATTGATTGGTCGGAAACTATGGTCCGAGGTGAATCAAAGAGGTCCGAATCTATACTTGTGTCCTAGAATTATTAGTTTTCAATAACATAAAGCAGAAAGCAAAACGATTAAAAAGAGGTAAATAGTATAACTAAAATATCGTAAGAGTATGAGACTCAGTCTCTAATGCCACGACTGCATGAGTAGGTACTGTTGAATTTATTTGGGCCAACCACATCGTGATATCGACCAGAGTAAGCTTTTCTTTGTAATAATTCATTTAATGTTCCCTTTTTACGTAAACTCTCATAAATTACTATTTTACTAAACATAGAAATTCCTCTGACCATCTTCTTGGTCATTCAATCAAATAATAGGCCTCTTATATGTTACAAAAATACGACAAGTCGAGTTGATGTCAATCAATATATATGTAGTACAATTCTTTTTTAATATTTGAACTATTCATATATGTAGATATAGTACATAGAATCTGCATAAACAGACACAAAAACAATTTCTTGATCTTTTTATTTAAAAAAAAAAAACAAAATCAACACCTTCTTCTTTTGTTAGTTAAAATCTTTATTGCATATTCAATTAGAACGATTTATCCTCTGCAACTATATACATTACACATTTAATTTTGAAGTTTCAGACAACTCCTTTCAATTAGTTAATGCATGGCGTGCACTTTTTCTTACCTCTTTTACGGGAACCGCAAACTTGCCTTTATCGTTCAATGAATAGTTATTGGTAACGACCAACTACTACGGTTTGGGGATTAACCATTTTAATGATACCAACAAAATGTGTTATTAGTACTAACTAGTACGAAGTAACTACTTTGTTCTTGTTAAAATGTTTCAAATCTTTGTTCATAACCATGATAAAAAAAAATTGATTAGGGAGCAATGGCCAATGGGATCGACGGTATAATCTTCGCTGTTCAAACAAAGACTGGTTAGTTTTTTTTTTTTTTGAAAATAAAAGACTGGTTAGTTACGTAACCAATTACAGAATCTGTTAGATTGAAATATGATGTAATTTATGGCTCTCATAGCCATTCTCATCTTTGGTCACCGTGAGAACGTACACGAAGATTGATTTGGTGGTTGCATGTATTAGACCACCTCCAATGGGAGGTTGTTAGAGAGTCCTAAACCCATTTTAAGATTAAAAATAAAGATTAAATGTAATAAAGTTCAATAACCGCTCCTTGATGAGGAGATTTAAAAACCCATAAACAACTCCATACGTGTCATAATTTGTTTGGTGGAAACAATAAAAATTATTTTTTATTTTTTTTTTCATTCAGAAAATCAGTTTCTCTCAAACTCTACCCGATACAAAATTTTGCTCTCTTCTTCCAAGAAATCGCAACCACTTTTACCTGGGTGCGTTTCAAGCGGCGATCAACAACAGCGAGATCCCTAATCTTTCGCAGGAGGATATCGTCGAGCGCGATTGCCTCGTCCACCGCTCTTACATCGCTCTCGGTAGCTACCAGGTTCGCCTCTGTGATGTCTTCTTCTTCCGATTCGATTCCTCTTTGTTTCGATCCTGAGTTGTAATATTTTTCAAATTTTGTTTTCGTAGCTAACGAAGCGTCCGCTACTCCTCTGCATGCAGTCAAGCTCCTTGCTATGTATCTATCGAGTCCTGAAAATAAGGTACTTCCAGAGAATTTGAGATGTTTCAGTTTTCTAATTTTCCTTTTTCAATTCGGAGATGATCAATAATGCAAATCGCATCGATTCGTGCTCAATAACGTTAGCTTAGCGGAATTTCCGAGAACTTTGCTTAGGAATCAGAAATTCATTTTATCATCGTCGTATGTTTGTGATATGCATTGTTGAATATATATTTGTATCTGTGATTTTGGTCAGGAATCAACCATTTCAAGTTTGAAGGAATGGTTGGCAGATCCAACCATAGGAAACAATGCTACTATTCGTTTGATTACTGGTACTATATTAATTGAAACTTTTCCTTTTGATATCAACTGTATAAAACTTTTGTTATCTCACGCCACACTTCTTTATGAAACGCAGGACAAAAACTCTGCTATTGAAGTAGAAAGATCGTACATACCAATGTTTCTTCAGGTAAATAACTTCTCTTATGACAATTTTTTTTAGCAATTCCTAAATGAAGAACCTCCCATTGGAAGTTTAAAAACATAAAACCTCTTCCATATATATATAGGTGTATGTAACTCAAACAAATAATTAAAAAAGAATCAAGAGCTCCAATGGGTCTCAACTATTGGAGATGCTCTTACTCATTCTTATTCTAAGCATTTATTGCTAATTGCACTTACTTTGTATATGGTCTTCTTGGTGGGGCCTTTTGGCTTTTGCCCTCGCTTTTTGTCTTTTTTCTTTGTTTGTTTGTTTTTGATTTACCTCCAATTTCTAACTTACAACTGTGGCCTTTTGTAACAAAAAACGTATAGATATTTATCATATTCTCATTTTCTAATTTACCTTACAAACCTAGCTAGTAACTAAGTGATGAGACATATGCAAATCTTATGTTAGAGGGTGATACTGGATATAGAGAAGGTCCAATCCTATACTTAGTTTCAAATCGGTTTTATCACAATATTTAGGTTGTGAACAGTGACGCATTCACCGTTTTTATACCTTGATAAATCGCCCATGTTTTGATACTTGTATATTTAAGTTCATTGAGCCTTATTGGGCTCCTCTAGTTTTGTTGCTGTAGAAATATTTTGGTCCGTGACAAACTCTAGCCCAAACTTCTAATGTGCTTGCAGATTTTTTTTTTAGATATAAAAATATGATAAATTAGAAACTGATATTTTTCTGAAAATATTTATTTAGGTAAAAAGAGAAAAACTAATAATAGTTTGATTGTCTATTTAAAAAGAATTGTAATTTTGAAATGTGCCAATACAAATGTTAAAGAAAAATAAATTGCGATTAATAAAAAATTTATATTGAAATAAAAGTTTTAGCTAAAACAATAATTTTTGGTGCAGTAGTTTCTACTGTTTAACATCACATTTCTATCAGTTTTCATCAATACAATCACAAAAAAAAATCCTCTAATATTCATTGTGGAAGAGTATACAAGAGTTTTAAATATTTTAACTAAAAATGAAATATTTTGGCTTAGTGATTTATTGTTCCATAATTATTTTTATTTATGTTCTTGACAAAGAAAAGCGTTACTCGATTACTTCTCGAACCCTCTCGATCTGTCTGAAGAAATTCATCTCTAAAACTCGAATCTTGGGATATTCCTTCTACTCTACAATTTCCCCCCTTGTTTGTCTCTCGAACCTAGCAAAACCCTAGACCGAAAAACCCCATGGCGATTATCTCTGAGGTGGAAGAGGAAAGCAGCAGCAGCCGACCTTCGATGCTGCCGTTTAGGGCGACATTCAATTCTTCGAACCCTTTAGGGTTTTTGGAGAAAGTTTTTGACTTTCTTGGACAACAGAGCGATTTCCTGAAGAAACCCTCCGCGGAGGAGGAGATCGCCGCCGTGGTTAGAGCGGCGAAGGAGAAGTTGAGGAAGGCGGAGAAGAAAGCTGAGAAGGAGAGTGTGAAGCCTGTGGAGAAGAAGCCAGAGAAGGAGACTGTGAAGCCGACTATGGCTGCTTCAAGTGCCGAGCCCATGGAAGTGGAGAAGCCTAAGGAGGAGAAGAAAAAGGAAACCCAAACCGGTCCTATTGGTAAATATCAAATCGGTTTCCTTTTAGCTAAATTTGATGAAATTGAATCTGGAAACTAGCTTGCCATTGAATCACAGCTTGAATATCTGGTATAGGCTCTTAGGATTGGAACTGTGATTGATATCGATGAATAGGTTGATTTACTGAAGAGTAACGGAGAGTTCTTTTCACTTTTCTGATTGATCATTGGTTCAACAACTTGTTGAAAGAACTATGAAGTTGCAGAGTCTTTATGTTTATTCGATAGTTGGTGGTATTAAGCATCAGTGATTTATGTTAGTGACTTAGTGTTCACCTAGCACCAATTTCAACAAAAACCTTGTTGGAAGATTTGAGTTCTGGAACTTGATGTGTCTCTCTTGTGATTTAATCAAAAACATTGTAAAGTTTATTCTTGATCATAAGTCTTGCCCCTCTCTCCTATATACTACTAAGTACTAAGTGCCTTTGGTGAGCATTGCTCTTCTCTCTTGTTCTTTCGAGTTAATTTTGTGTCTGTTTCTTTGCAGTGCCTAACATAGGTAATGGAACTGATCTTGAGAACTACTCATGGGTACAGACTCTTCAGGAGGTCACAGTTAACGTTCCAGTGCCTACTGGTACTAAAGCACGGTCTGTTGTATGTGAGATTAAGAAGAATCGTCTCAAGCTTGGTCTCAAAGGTCAGGATCCAATAATCGATGTAAGTTCCTATGCTGTTGATTTATCATTAATTATTCCAACGCCATCCTAAATCCCTTAATGCTAAAGTTTCAAACTTTCCATAATCATAGGGAGAACTCTACCGGTCTGTGAAGCCTGATGACTGCTACTGGAATATCGGTATATACCTAAAGAGATTCTACTTCGTTGTTGGTAAAGGAGAGTCCTTATTCTTTTTGCTAATACAATTCTCTCAATGGTTACTTTGCAGAGGATCAGAAGGTAATATCGGTTCTCTTGACTAAGCAAGATCAGATGGAGTGGTGGAAATGCTGTGTGAAAGGTGAACCTGAAATAGATACTCAGAAAGTTGAACCAGAGAGCAGTAAATTAGCTGACCTTGACCCAGAAACTCGCTCGACTGTTGAGAAAATGATGGTACTTGTCTTCTTTGAATCCCATCGCTCTCCATCAAAGTATCTTGAATCATCGGCTTTTCTTGTTCATTGCATGTGTGTATGACACTGAAGTGTTTTTTTTTTTTTTTCTTTCTTCGTATCCATAGTTTGATCAAAGGCAAAAACAGATGGGTCTTCCAACAAGCGACGAGCTGCAGAAGCAAGAGATACTCAAGAAATTCATGTCTCAGGTAAACAATACATCTTTTATCTTCGATAATTTATCACATTGTTATCCTTTTGTTCTGAACGGTTTTCTTGTTTTCGATTCTTTACATGCAGCATCCGGAGATGGACTTCTCAAACGCAAAGATAAACTGATGCTCGTGTGGTCTTGGTCTCTCTGCTAAAAAAAAAAAACAGTTTTGCATCTTCACCAGCTTGTTTTTTTAGTTGAATCTCTTAAAAAACATGTACCTTTAAGCTGCTTTTGTTTTGTCTACTTTGAAGCCATAGTTTCATCTCATGTTCGGTTTATTGTTCTCTTTGTTATATTGAATGAAACTGTTTTCAAATCCGGTTAACTCGACTTCATATGAGTCAGCTCTTAAACCAGACAAAACTTTGTATCGTTGTACTTCTCTGTTCGATTACGTCCTCTCTAGTGTGTGACTCGTCTTTGTCTCGTGACCGTGTGGTGACACATGGAGCTTCTTCGATTCGTCATGAAGCTGCCGTTTTCGGCAAAAAGATAAACCGGGACCACATGACACATCTGTGGTCCAGCCCGGTTTAGTTTGGAATGTGGTCCACATTGTTGTTGTCGCTCTACAACCTTCTTTCTTCAACTTCACATAACGAATAATGAAACCCATCATCAATCCACTTACGTAAATGCAAAACCAACGTCCTTCAAATCGCACAAATGTATTCACTTTGAAAGAAAAAGATTCTCTCATGTCACTGTTGACAAGGCATGTGGACAATTTGCTGCAAGAACAAAGCTTTCAGTAACTCAGCTTCTGTAGCTCTATTCATGTACTACTAGACTCTCTAAAAGGAAGTGCGTCTCAAAGTATCAGCTTTGAGTCTCGCTCTTGGAGAGGAGACTAATTAACATGTTCTTGGTCTCTCAAGAAGACTATGGCCCTAAAGCATGGATTCTATTGGTAAACAAAACAAAAATTGTTACGGTCATTCGTGATGTAAAAAAACCAGTTTAGCTGAAGTTTGGAAATTTACTTTACTATTGATAAGTTGTCATTTGGTCTCCTATTGTTTATTTCGTGCTAGTCACATTCATTATCTCTAATTTGTTGGTCTTGTATGATTTTTTTGGCTGCACCCATTCAATAGTTTAACCATGGGTAGAATTTTTCTAATGGTTTCAAATGGGAGAGACATTATAGATCGTTTTAGTATAAGCATGAATGCAGTGGCAGAGCCAGAATTGTTTTTGACTGGGAGCATAAAAGTATATATAATTTAATAAATGGAAGCATTAACATTGAACACTACTAAATTACATCAACTTTTGAAAATTGGTTAGGGGCGAATGATCTATGCTAATGCATGTGGCTCCGCCACTGATGAATGTAGTGACTAGAGGCTAATTGGCTGTATATGGTTTTGTCGATATTCGTCAATTATTTGAAAGAGACAAACGCAGTATACACCAAATGAGTCTTACTGTTACAATTTCACAATCAGATTATGATTCAGTGTTAGAGCTCTCCCCTTAGCTAGATCCATCACTCTTAATCTCCTTTAAATGTTGCAGATATAACCAAAGATCTGAATATAGACTATTAGACCCATTCGATTTGCCATGTGAATTTTAGTTGGCGTCACCATATTGATGGTGACACTAGTGTACAATGAAGCCAATGAATTAACATATATGTTACAGATATATAGGTTGGTTACAATCTTTAATCACATCATAGTTATAAACTTATTAATAAATCCTTAATTATTTTTATTAAAATAAATAAAAGCCTAAATTATCAAAAGTTACCTTATATAAATTTTTTTTTAACATTTTGCTTATTATTCAATTCGGTTTAAAAATAAAATTATTTGTTAGAATCTCACATCCAAAGTTTAAAAGAACTAATACTAATATATAAGAGGTTTGGGCTAATCCACTTATTATCGATTGTTTTTGAGTTGAAAATTCAATAAACTTAACATGGTATCAGAGCCTTGTTTGTTGACTCAAGAAAAGTGATCCAAAAAGAATTTATTACCAGTTTTAAAGTGGAATGCATTTCGAAATGGACCGATAAGAGTTATCATCTCGAGGAGGCATGTTAGAATCCTACATCCGAAATTTAAAGAGACTAACACTACTAAATAAGAGATTTGGATCAATCTACTCATTATCAATTGATTTTGAGTTGGAACCCAAAAAACTTAACATTATTGACTATAAATGTAACCGTCGTAAATCATTTTTTTTCACGTCTTAAACTATATTCAAATTCATATTCGAATCAGAATCTGACATCAGTGAGCTAACTCCTCTAGCCTCATTAAGATCATTTTACAATTAGTTAGTTAATTTCTATGATACTGGAGCGATAAGTACTATATATAATTAGTGTTGTTGGCGGCTTGAGCGATAAGAACTTTGTGTATGTTTCATAAATCACATTTAGACATAATTACTTTGTTTGTCGAGATGTAAGATATACGATGACTGGTAAGTACTAATTTATTCGTTAGCAAAAAAAAAATAGTACTACTGTTATAACACATATCATATATGGACTCTTATACCGGCCCATTAGGCCCATCAGGGCATTGTACTTAACCTAGATTCCCTATGTACTTTATATATACATTCCAGTGATTAATAAAGTTTCTAAGTTTTCACAACACGTTATCAGCACGATAAGACTCTCTGAGCGAAAAACCCTAATAAATCCGGCCACCACCAAAACCCTAAAAGCAAGTCGAAACTTAAAAGACGCATATCTTCCAAACCGTGAAGAACCAGAAGACGATCTACATATCAAATCGAAGCCCTCGACGAGACGAATCTACTGGTGAAAACCGTTTGTCGATCCAACATCGGACGCGCCCTCACGCACACTTACAGTACACGACGATCAACCGAAAAAAAACCAGATCCGAGTTTTTCCTTCTTCAACCAGCAGCTTCTCCAGTTTTGGTGATCAATCCTTGGAATTTGTAGCGGCTAACTGAGGTCTATTAGCTCCCAGTTTCATTAGCCTGTCAGAAATCCAAAGGTGGAAAAGCACACCAGCAAATGAAAACCATAGTCGTAGATAGTGGATCCAGCCACACTATCTTAAGAAACAAAAGTTACTTCATAAACCTAACCTATCAAACCGCAAATATTAGCACCATCGGGGGTCCCTCAAACCTTATCGAAAGATATGGACATGCCTATGTGTTGCTATCAAATGGCACACAACTTGAAATACCAGATGCTCTATATTCTCCTAGTTCGAAGAGAAATCTTCTGAGCTTCAAGGATATAAGACAGAATGGTTTCCACATAGAAACCCAAGGTCAAGGGAACAAAGAATCCCTCCTAATCACTAAAACCGTAGACGGCCATAAACAAATCCTCGAAACCATACCCGCGCTCTCTACTGGACTTTACCATGCTAAAGTCAGTATGATTGAAGCTAATACCACTCTCAAAGCCCGGTTTACTGATTATACTATTTGGCACGACCGGCTCGGTCATCCCGGTGCAAATATGATGCGTAAACTAATTCAAAACTCTCAAGGGCATACCCTCAAAGAAAACCGAGCTTATCCTCAACACCTCATGTGCACAGCTTGTTCTCAAGGCAAATTGATCACTCGGCCTTCACCAGTTAAAATCTCTAAACAAACACTTCATTTCCTAGAAAGAATCCAGGGCGATATCTGTGGACCTATACATCCATCTTCCGGACCATTCCGGTACTTCATGGTCCTTATAGACGCATCGACCCGTTGGTCATATGTTTGTCTCTTGTCCTCTCGGAACCAAGCCTTCGCTAGGTTCTTGGCCCAAATCATCAAATTGCGGGCCCATTTCCCTGACTTCCCACTAAAGACTATCCGCCTTGACAATGCTGGTGAATTTACCTCACAAGCGTTTAATGACTACTGTATGGCCATGGGGGTAACCGTGGAACATCCTGTAGCACATGTCCATACTCAAAATGGATTGGCTGAATCATTCATTAAACGCATTCAATGGATAGCCCGACCATTACTCATGAGATCAAAGCTCCCGGCCTCAGCATGGGGACATGCAGTATTACATGCTGCTGAACTCATACGCATCCGGCCATCTAGTGAACACAAATATTCCCCATCCCAACTACTCTCGGGTCATGAGCCAGACATCTCCCATCTCAAAACATTTGGGTGTTCAGTATATGTACCCATTGCTCCACCACATCGAACCAAAATGGGACCTCAAAGAAGGATGGGAATATATGTTGGTTTTGACTCTCCCACCATCATAAGATATCTCGAGCCAACCACTGGAGATCTCTTCAAGGCCAGATATGCGGATTGCCAATTCGATGAATCGGTATATCCCTCTTTAGGTGGTGAGACAAACAAGCTGGTCAAAGATCTTTCATGGAATCAAACATCATTAAATTGGCAAGATCCTCGGACTCTAGAATGTGATTCAGAGATCCAAAAGATTATTCATTATCAAAAGCTAGCTAATCAATTGCCAGATTCCTTTGCTGACCCGACCAAAGTAAGTTGCTACAGAGTCTGCACCACGTCTCAAACGGGGCAGACCTCTCGGTTCCAAAGATAAGAATCCCCGGAAATCAAAGAAAGGTGCAATAACCGAAACCGGGATTCCTGCAATATCAGACATAGCCGCGGCTGAGACTCAATCTAATGAACCCTCAATGGAAGTTCGGGACGCCGAATCTCCAGGTTCAGAAGATAACAATGAGATCTCCATCAATTACAATATGTCCGGAATACAATGGAATCGAAAAGAAGTCGACTTAAATGCACTTTTTGCATACAAAGTAGCACTTGATGTTGCGCTCACGCAAGAGGATCTAGAACCCACGTCAATAACACAGTGTACACATCGAACAAATTGGCTAAAATGGAAAGAAGCCATAAACGTGGAGTTAAAGAGTCTCAAACTCAGAAACGTGTTCGGTCCGATCATCCGGACCCCATCACACATCAAGCAAGTGGGCCACAAATGGGTCTTTGTGCGCAAAAGGAACGAACTCGGTGAAGTCGTTCGATACAAAGCACGGCTTGTAGCACAAGGATTCTCACAGAGACCCGGAATCGATTATGAGGAGACTTATTCTCCAGTGGTGGATGCAACAACATTCCGATTCCTCATAAGTCTGGCCATAAGAGAAAATCTTGATCTGCGGTTAATGGATGTTGTAATCGCATATCTCTATGGGCCCCTGGACAACGAAATATATATGAGACTCCCAGATGGCATTGAACTAAAAGACAAAAATGCATCTCGAGATCAATACTGCATCAGGCTGAACAAATCCTTGTATGGACTGAAACAAAGTGGGCGTATGTGGTACAACCGCCTCAGTGATTACCT